TTCTAAAATCTTCACGCGATATTGCTAGTTCAGTTGATAAACTCTTAGATAATGTGCCTGGACAACATAGCACAAGCGTCTATCAGTACAGGTACTGTAGTACCTAGCCTTTGCAGGAATAACAGTTGGAGATACAGATGAGCTACTTTTGCCAGGTATCACAAGGACCTGGGCACGCTCGCCTATCTAGAGGTGCATTCGGATGAGCAGTCGAATCGAGTAAAACAACGAATTCTATGGGCTCTGAAGCATGGCATGATCGGTCGCCTACGAGTGACCGCCAGTGGATTTGAATTCCACGTCGTCCGAGGTCTTACTAACCTTTATGTCTGACGTTTTGACAGACTTCGCTACATTTGAGCACTTGAAAGCTTTGCCGTCAAGTGCGCAGAAGCTTATATCTGTGTATTGAACCAATTTCTCTCAACTTTCATCCTACCCTTTTAATCGATAACGTACCTTTGTGTGCTTTATAGGTGTGGTGGCCCTTTAACTTCAAAACCAAGCTTTTATACAAAAGTTTGTACACAGTCTACTTAAGGGGGTTAAGAATCTTCGAGTCCGTGAACACACAATGTTGTTTTTTTCTTTTGCTGACGGTTAATCTCAGATAACTCTGAAGAATATTCCTTTATAATGTTGATTTCTATAGAAGGATTCTGACTGACACTAAGATCCTCCTCAACACTTGAGGTCAATGTTACTCGAAGAGTTTCGAATCTGTCACATGTCTTCGAAAAGCACTCATTCTTTATTTTTTATCTGCGAATCAGAAGTTTTTTCTCAGACACACATGCGATCTGCTTACAAAAGAAGTAGCACTTGGTATATCAATGGAGTGTTATGTATCCAAAACTACTGCTTCTTACAAGAATAGCATCGGCTTACATAGAGGGAATCGAAGAATCGATTTACTACAGGAGAGGAGTCGAAAAGCTTTTTGCCGAAAATTCTAAGCATTCCTTAACGCCGACGAAAAATATTGAGAATGATTGATTGCTATGTTTCTTCTCAAAAAAGCCGCTTCCAACATGGCCAAAGATAAAGACTTTGAATTTCCTTTGATTGAGAGTTTCAATTTTTCTTTTTCAGATGCGAACTCAAACTGCTCTGCGACGGAGTTTCAGTGTTTGGATGGCAGCTGCATTGCCGCTAACCTCCGATGTGATGGACATAGGGACTGCAATGATGGATCCGATGAATCGTCAAAATATGGTAGGGATTCTCTTCTTTTAGTGAGCTGTGCATCAAACTTTATTTTTCATTTTCCAGCATATTGCCGTACCTCAACTCCTGTAATATATCAGACAAATCGTGTCGTTTACGTTCCTTCCGGGGGTACTGCCCTTCTATCCGCTATCATTGACGAAATTCCAAAACATCATCAGGTAAGGCCACAACTTTTTCGAAATGCTTCGCAGTCTCTTAAGTCCAAATTTCCACAGCTGGTCCAGTCATTCTGCTTATAAAAAGAGCATGCGTTTAGCACAAGACTGCAACATTTTTTTGAAAAATCACATCTGTTCCATTGTCTGTGCACGTTCGGGGATCATAAGCAGAATGACTGGAGGAATTTCGCAATTTTTCGATTCGAGAGGGATCACTGTGCAGGCATCGTAAACTACACTTCATCCTACTTGAAACTGTTCTTTCTTAGTTCTTATTCATGTCCTTGCTGACCTCTATCAATCATTACATGATTTTTACCTATGTGCAACATAATATAAGTCTTCTGCGTTGTTGTTGCTAAAGTACAATTTGAAAGACAGTGCGAGACTGGGCCGAATAGCGCTGAAAAGAGCATTGTACAGAGCGTCGGTGCCAATTGATGAAACATGCATAAACAGCCAAAATTCCATCTAAGTGCTCACTCTCCTTCGCTTTTTTTATAACTTGACTCTATACAAAAGGGAAAAAAACTTAATGGGAATTCAACAAGCCTGTACTCCTCAAAAATGTTAAAATAGAAGTCTGCTTATAGTGATAGAAAAAAGCTACGTTATTTGCTAACGAAATCTATGTTCTGTGACCACTACTTTATTACAGGGATTAGTTATCATAAGCGTTTAAGAAGATGAAAAACAGCTGAGTGGAAGCTACTGAATGCACTATGCCCTTCCTCTTCTGGAATTGATTCAGCGGCTGTTTTTGCTTTTGTAGGAAAGCATTTCGAGGGCTTGCAGGATTGTAGCTATGAATCACTCAATCCAGTTTTGAATACCAAACTCTTGAGAGGATGTTGGGCTAGCGTTGACTTTATTTTTGTAGCATATGCGGAGGATAAGTAATATCTAAGTGCACTTTTAAATAGGCCAGACTTTTTGATAAAAGAAATCTTGATAGCACAACTCGGGATTGCGGTTAGCCAAAATCAAAATAACGCTCTATTGCTTTTACACACTCCGCTTCTAAACTCAATACACCTATTAA